AGGCGGAAATGTTGTAGGCCCGTGTGCTCAGATTTGGGTGCACGTTAAAGAACCCCAGGTGGTCAAAATTTCCGGAGCCCTCCACTACGGCGTCTCTCATAATCATATCGTGGTTTTGGGACGTTAAACCCCACAAATCAATCAATCGATTATGGGTTCTGACCGTAATCTCTCTCCTTACTAGTGTAGTGAGAGCTTTATTTCTTTCTTCACGCTCGGGACTTACAGACTGGTATCCTGGTAGTGTGGCCAGGCCATGCGTTTCTTGAAGTAAAATAACATCTGGCTTGTTACCTTGTCGGATGTACTGCTGGATGACAGATTTCTTAGCCTCTACAGTTCCATTGTCATATGCGGAGTTGTCCTTTACCCCGCCTCACCATCGCTGTTCGTTATTTGTGTGGAAGGCGTGAAAATAAGTGGGTGGATGAGAGGGGTTGGTGGTTTTGTGGGAGTTGCCTGCAGGGGATGTAGTGCCTGCGGTTGTTGGTGAACATTCGCGACTACACCCTGAAAATCTGCGGATGTTTGTGGGTTGCATCCTCGTTCCAGCATTTCTACCCTGGCTGCTAGTGCCGTCAGATCAACAGACGTCTTAGTGGTGGTTTCCAGGATAGATTGGAACGCGGTTAATAGCTGGTCTACATTTTTCTAAATGTTACCCAACCTTGTTTGTCGAGAGATGCTTTCTTGTTTAGTGCTTGGGGGATCTGTAGTTTTCTGCGTTTTGGCCTTTCGTTTTAACAGAAGGGTATACTTTTCTCCATGCGATCGTCGGCTATAGGTGTTTCCTCCTGCATTACAGTATTAGTTATATTAGGGCTTCTGGGTTTGCCGCATTCGCGTTTCATAGTGAGGAGTTCTACTTGAGCTTGCACCTGTTCTATCATTTCTTTCATTCGTCTGTTTTCATCTTCAAGCCGCTCCAACTCTTGACTGTTGTTGTTATTGCTACCGTTATTATTTTTAACCTCCTGAGGTCCCTCTGGTTGCAAGCCGCGTACTGATCTACTCAGCTTACCTTGTTTGTTGGTTCCTTAGACGCCGATCCCGACCTGGAACTGGGGTGGGAGCTTGTAGGGCTGCGGTTCCTTGAACCGGAGCGGGATCTTGTTTGCTGTCGTTTTCCGGCTCTTGATGTCGAGCGCTCTCGTGGACGTCCTCTTGGTGGAGATCAGCTTTGCCTTTGATGTTCTCGTAGTCTGGCCCATTGTCTCGGTTTTACAATGTAAGGTTTCTTGAACCTGGCCGTGCAGTTTTTATGTGCTGAAACGTGGTCTTTTCCACAGGTTTGACAACTAGGGTCGCATCGGTGGTCGTCTTTGGGGTTGTGAATGCCACAACCAGCACAAAGTTTATCTAGGGGGTTGGGGCACACGTCACTTCTATGTCCTAGTAAGTTGCACTGCTTGCAGTAGTCAATTTGCTTGCGGTATAGCGTGCATGGTATTATTACTCCATCATAGCACACACTGGAGGGTACCTTGTTTCCATACAAGAGCACAATGACCGTTGTAGTAGTCCTCAGTCGTTTCGCCGTGATGATGCTATGGTTTCTTTCAGTGACAAGGGCCGCCCTAATCCGCCCCGCTGCGGTGGTCTAGTGGCTAAGGTACTCGGCTGGTGACCCGCAGGTCGCGGGTTCAATTCCCGGCTGTGGCGGCTGCATTTCCGATGGAGGCGGAAATGTTGGAGGCCCGTGTACTCAGATTTGGGTGCACGTTAAAGAACCCCAGGTGATCAAAATTTCCGGAGCCCTCCACTACGGCGTCTCTCATAACCAAATGGTGGTTTTGGGACGATAAACCCCACAAATCATCATCAAGGACCGCCCTAATGCTACCAGGAGTTTCTTCCAGTGGGATTCCTTTAATCATACCCTTGGCTGTATCTTCTGGTGCTGTTTCATACGGTGCCACTTCATATTCTTTGCCTCGTATAAGTATTTTCTTGATTTTTCTGTACTGGTCAGCTCGGTCGGGGTCTGGTGTGCTCACTAACATGATGTTCTGTGTCTTGTTGGGGCATATTACGTCGAAGTGCCGAACTTCTGGTGGTGTAGCCGTGGCTTCATGTGTGTCTCTGGTTATATCGGTTGGGCCGAGCGCGGCTACGTGTAGGCCTCCTCTCGGTCGGATGACAATTTTGTAGTCTCCCGCCGGCAGCTTGGGCATTCTGCTCGCTTTTTCGATGCGGCTCATCCGCCTTTCCTGCGTTTTGGCTTGCGTGTTACCAGAGCCGGGTTCTACCTTGTTGTTAGCACCATGGACGCCATTAGCGTCCCTGACCGATTCATGTCCGGGCTTTCGACGACGTCCGTAGTAGATGGTGTGCCAGCCTTCTTCACTCTCGGTAGTGGCTGGCGATTCATCATCATCGTATTGTACGTCCATCGTCCTCGAATCAGCATCAGTGTCTTGCGCGCCGCCTGCGGACGCGGTGGATTCCATTGGGTTTACAACGCCGGCTCCCTTAGGAAACCGGCCTGTTTCGCGAGGCTTAACAGCGTCTCGTATGGTGTGCACCGAGAAAAGGCTGTAAAAGACGAAAAACCGTTGGCCCACCTCGTCTTTGGTATCCTGAGAATCTGGATGACGAGGCGAATCTTCTGATGTCACTCCGAGAAATGCACGTGGTGATGTTCACTGCGAAGTTGTTCATGAAAGCAGGAGCTGACGTGAAGCGCGCCTGCGCTCGTCGGCGCTCGCAGCGTCCTCGCAAAAAACTGACCAAAAATTAGTTTAGAAGACATGAATGTCTCATCGAAGTGTTTAGAAAAAGTGCCTTCTTGAAGGAGTTTGTTGATGTAAATCTAGGTTTTTTTAAGAGGGTAGGTAAATGTTATTAGAGAATTTTCGAATAGGGGCCCAAAAGTTTGATGTCCCAAAGCCCCCTGCGTATGAGCGTTACGGGTCAAGCAAGAGCGAAGATATTTCGAGGGTCTGCGGCACCTTGGATACTCACCCAATTCTTGGTCATGCCACTTCAGTGGGTGCCGTTACGTTAGTCTGACCCAATACCTTAGGGGAAGGCCTTAAGGCTTCCACTAAACTTCAGAAGTAGCGTCCCCAACCCAAAAGCCAAACACGGTCTGGGGTTTGCGCATGCGCAGTGGCCTTGATGCTATTTATTTGGGGCCCCTATTCGAAAACTCCCTGTTATGTTATGCTTATGTTCCGTGTAATGACCTGCATGACTGAAATTTTTTTTCACTTGCCATAAACATTAAAACATTAAAAAGACTTTGTACATCTTAGAACCTGCACCCTTGCTTATATACTCATGTTTTAAAGTATGCTTGGCTCGATTTCAAAGCATTGTGTTCCACTAACTGTTTGTGGTGTCACATAATGTGCCTTGTTTTACGAGAAGGTATGTTTTTTCTAAATCTTTTTCCCTCAATCTGCATACGCTCCTCTACAATTGGAAGACCACAAAGTGTCACTTAATGGGGCGAATCAGCTATTTCATGATGTCAGTAAAAGTAATCGCCGCAAAGGGAATGTAACAGTCAGTCATGACTCATACACTCACCGCGAACTCGACAGATTGAATGAGGAGAGACAGGTAATCACCAATATACATAGAGAATGGGCTGTTTATAGAAGTTAGGCTGCAATTATACAGCTCCACGTTTTCAGATAAATATAAAAATTTATTAAACACTCACCAATAAATTTACTGGTATTTCGGGTTTATCATTTGAACTCCGATTGAAAAAAATGACATCGTTGACGTTCAGGGGGCTTTTTTAAAGCTGAAAATTATGAAGAAAAAAGAGCGCACCTCCATCATTGACACTAACCTCGTTGAGCGTAGATAAGTATAGATATACGTTAAGAATACGTTAGTTAAGCATTGAAATATTTGTGCTTGTGTGTATACGTGTTAGTGCAGTCAAGCCTTCCAGACAACTGATATACGCTTACTCGGAAGGCATATTTTCGTGAATGGTCAGATATAATTTCCGCTATAATTTCGGAGTATAGAGAATAATAATAATAATAATAATAATAATAATAATAATAATAATAATAATAATAATAATAATAATAATAATAATAATAATAATAATAATAATAATAATAATAATAATAATAATAATAATAATAATAGTAATAATAATAATAATAATAATAATAATTATAAAGTACTATATTTTTCAAAATTAGGGAGGCTGGAGAAAAGCTGAGCAGCAGCTTGAGTAACTCCTGTCCCCAAAAGTACGCGTTAGGATTAAATAGCAGTGCACACAAATAGCCCTATTAGCCCGGGAAGTGAGAAAAAAAAGAAAGACTGAAGAAGCGTGATTATTAGTAACTATTCAATGCAATTCTATTAGAAATATCTTTTCATAAGATGACATTGCAGCAGCTTATAATGCAAAAATTAAAACTGAATTACGAAGAATTGGGGATTCATAAACTGCAAAAAACGCCTGCATTTTCAAACAATAAAAATAAACGAGTAAATAACATAATAAACTCCGGTCACACGAAGACCTGAATACAATAAAACAAACTACATCACAAGGATGTCAACGTCAGGCAGAAGTCAACCGTCATCTTGCTTTCGTTCGATTGTTGTGAACTTTTGAATGAAAGGTTTCCCAGAAGAAATGACAGCTTTCAATACCTTTCACATCATATTTATAACACTTCCACTGAGTTTTCAGAAGTCAAATATGAAGTATTGCTGAGCTGAACGTTGTTTACGACAGAGGAAAGTAAGCTTTCAAAGTTGTTTTTTTTTTAGCTTGTCTGGACACGTGGCTCATCATTTTGAGGAGCATTACCGGGTGACAGCGTAATGTTGGCATATCCGCGAGAGGTAGGGATGAGATGTGAGAGCATCCTTTTTCTCACGACAACAGTTTAGGCGCGAATCCTGTACGTAGCAGCGTTGTGCCAATATGCGGGCTCACTTGCGTTGTTGCAATGATGTTTGGTTGGGAGAGCTGAATAGTGCGGCCCTTAACCACTTCCGCCGATGAATTGCAGTATTTACGAAGGAGGGAAGCCAACGCTGATGGTGGCGGATCCAGACCTGCTGAAGCAGGTTCTGGTCAAGGAATTTCCATCACTGCCAAATAGACGGGTAAGATTAGCCTGTTTTTGTTTGCTCGCAGTGTATTAGTCTTCTTTTTCTACATGACGCATTCAACTGGAGTAGGCCGAAGTCCAAAATAAAATAAAAACATAGGTTCTTTGGTGCAATTAGGAGTTACGGTAGCACACCACTTTTACGTTTCCGGGTTCTGCATTTTGCAGGCTGTTCAACCGTTTTCGGCTGAAACTGCCATAGCTCCCATAAAACCCTATGCATTGAGAACCCCATAGTTTCGTCGCAAATGTGGTGCCATTCCTGCATTGTACGTATACAACCACCCCTTCTAGACGACCAAGACGGCTATGTTGACTTTTAACATGGCTTGGCTTAGTCCGATTCATGTCTTGATTATTAAATAGGCCATTGGAACCAATGAAGGTGACGTATATAATTCACTTTGAAGCCAGTTAATGTGTAAGCCAATTTTTAAGCGGATTTCATCAAGCGAAATGGTCGTGTTGAAATTACAACGAAAATTCTCATTTTTTCCTGTTTCTCGGCGTCTAAGTTTTACTTTCGCGGTTGCTTGAAGAACGCATCACTACTCTACTGTACATATAGGTTTCTAATGATATTTCCGAACGACAGGGCATCGATAAATGATAGCATAGTATTACGACGCTGAGCAAACAGCGCAACAAAGTGCGACATGTTGCACCACCAAGACTGCTAGTAGAAACAGAGGAACTTATAACGCCTAAAGTTGTGCGCAGATGAACACACTCAACTGTAACATGCATAAAGTACTATTTACTAATAGAAACCAACTTGCAACGAAATTATGCTAGCGGTTAGATCGTAAATTTATTTTCAAATAACAGTGTATACGAGCTCGTACCTTCACCCACTTTTATACGCTCGTACGGCAATCGGTGTGCTATCACGCATAAATTAAGCAGTTATTCGTCGGTTTCTTAATTTTCTATTTAATGTTGAAGAGAGCTGCAATCATTTTTCCTCTCCTCGAAGCTTACAGCAGAAGATATTACTGGAAGGAATGCAGGTCGACTATATAGAATGCCAACCGCACTCGTTTCCGGCACTGAATTTTTTCTGACATGCAATGCCGGTCGCACTTTCTTCCATGATCTAAATTGTTTCAGGTGTATTGCACCTGAAATGAATACAGTGCTGGAAACTTGTACGGTAGGCGTTCTTCTATTTCATTTACCTACCATCACCCTATTACACCTCTATTCATCCAATTCTGGACGAGAGAACTCACCCGACCTCCCAGATTTATCACAGGTAGAGCCCATATCCTGGCATAACACTTGGTCCCGAATTCGAAGACAGTAATAAAAATGAGGGGCAACCTTCCATTAAGTACGAGTTTTGAGAAACAAAAGAAAAATTAAAGTATGAACCCAAATGAGGTTTAACTGATATTGGACGGTTTGAAAGCGATATTGTCGCTATTATGACAGTAATCGGTTTATTTTTGCAAGACAGCATAGAATTTGCTGTCTCTCAATGCTTCAGTATAATGCCAGAAAGTATCAATGTGACTCAAAGGAGCGACAGATACTTAAAGATAATTCGCTGATTCTTCAGCCATCTTGTCCTTCTAAAGGCTCCAATAAACGTATTGTTAAATTAAAGGTATTTTACTCTTTCACTGTACGTACAAGACGGTAAACTTGTATCAATAAAGAACTTATAAATAAATAAAAAGAAAAAATAATTAAATAAATACTAAGTAAATAAATAAATACAATGGCAGATCCCATCCACGTACTGTGAGAATCGATGACATGCGAAGCACGAATGAGAAATGTTGATATGTCCTTTTAAAGTAAACACAACGTTATGAGGTGGAAGGCAATGATGCCGTACATGCCTTCCGTGTCATGATTATCATGTTTGAATGTGTCGTCTACCTTCGTCATCAATTCACGTCACGTGATACCAAATTTAGTATATGTAGAGCTAGCGAAATGACCGCGAGCACGCTATAAGCGTGGTATGTGTCATGTTCTGGCAAGACACGCGGGTCGGGATTATCATATTTGCACCAGTAGTATAGTTTCGTCATTCATTGACGTCACTTAACACGGTATATGTGGAGCTAGCGAAATGGCCGCGAGCGCATCATGAAGGGCTCAAGATACTCGAATCTGGTTTTGACGCCCGCGCACGATGGGAACAGCAACGCTACGTTAGCAAAACGCGAGCACTCTATAGTATGACTATTTTCATGTTATGACTTGTCAAGTATGTTTTTCATACAGTCATGTTATGTCATACCAAGTTTGGTCTCGATACCATTATCGAAACGGCCAGAAGAGCTAAAAGTCGTAGGCGGCTAAGATAGATAGATAGATAGATAGATAGATAGATAGATAGATAGATAGATAGATAGATAGATAGATAGATAGATAGATAGATAGATAGATAGATAGATAGATAGATAGATAGATAGATAGATAGATAGATAGATAGATAGATAGATAGATAGATAGATAGATAGATAGATAGATAGATAGATAGATAGATAGATAGATAGATAGATAGATAGATAGATAGATAGATAGATAGATAGATAGATAGATAGATAGATAGATAGATAGATAGATACGCTCAAAGTCGCCGAAGTTCGCTAAGAAATGCTTCGTATTTAATAAATTGGTAGACAGCGTCCAATTTCATAGCGGCACGATGAGCTAGCGCATGAGCCTTGAGGTGGCGCGCCACTTCTCTTTTTTTTTTTGACCCTACACGGGACCCATTCTTAGCGATCTCCTAATAATAAAACAATATCTGGTGTTTTTCGTCCCAAAAGCACGATATGAGCGATGCCACGGTGGAGGGCTCCGGCAACTTTGACCATCTGGAGCTCTTTAATGTGCAAAGACATAGCACTGTACATGGGCCTCTACCATTTCGCTACCACCGAAATGTGACCGCCGGGGTCGATCATCGGGCAAGCAGCCGAGCTCGTTAGCCACTGATGCACCATGACTTACTCAGCATGCTCGTATTCAGCACGATGTTCTTACTGGATAAAAGAGAGAGATGGAAACAGAGAGGAAAGGCAGGGAGGTTAACCAAGCTTTGGCTTGGTTGGCTACCCTACACTTGGATTGAGGGAAAGGGAGAAGAATATAAAGAAAAAAAAACAGAGAAAAAAGAAGAACAGTAAGAAAAAGATGGATAAATAGTCAGCTTGCGACTGCACAGCACGCTATTGTGATGTTAGTTCACAAGCACTCGTGAAGCGCGGTGGTCTTCAAGAAGCACAAGAAAGCTTTCGAGACTTTGCGCGTGTACGAGACCGTCGGCCAAGGTCCCAGAATCTTCTATGTAAGTGGTCTTGAATCCAGGTGACGGAGCTTGGCTTCCTTACTACGTCATTGAGTTTGGTATGAGGGGCCGTGGCAGAGAATGTGCTCAAGCACTTTCTCGCGGGCGCAAATGTTACATGCCGCACTGCTGGCCGTTCCAATGAGACACGAACACTTATTCGTAAATCCCATGCCCAACTGCATGCGACAGATTAAAGCTGCATCACGTCGTGAGAGCCCGGATGGTAAAGGAGTTTAGAAAGTTCGGTCAATTGAACACAGACGTGCGTTGGAGAAATCCTGCGCATTCCATTGGAAGCGTGATACGGAGAGCAAGTGATTGTGGTCGCCGCGCAGCGTCCATTCTCAAGAGCGGTATGGGCGTCCGCAGATCTTGGTCACGAGCCGATGGAACAGCTTCATCAACGTGGTCGTTGCTGACAATTCCAAAAAATGACTAGCAAGCATTGAAATACAATATCATGTCCGTCCTAGAGATCTTGGTGGTAGTCCTGCCTTATCTCATACACCGACCGTTCATGTAATCCATGCCATAAAGCAAACCGTAGTAATTTTAGGGCTGACCTTGAGTCCCAAAAAATGATACATTAATTAGGGGGCTGCTGAAGAGTTTGCTTGACTGCACCTCTAAGCGCTGCAAGTTCCGCTTCTGTCGACGTCGGGATGTAAGAGAACTTGTATTGTAGCAGTAAGTTACCAGATGGAACAACCGCTGCTCCTGTACAACCATTCTTGGAATTGTTGGAGGCATCGGTTTAAAATCCGTGCGGTCAAAGTACGTTTCGTCCCTGAAAAACACGCAAAGTTAACTGTTTCAGGGCTAGCGGTGACATGTGTGCCTTCTTAAGATTCCCGGGAACCGATATGTGCGCACGTCAGCTTGACGGAGACTCCACGATGCAGATGCCGGACGCATTGCAAGTTTGGAGCCAGGCGGTTATATGTCGTGGTGTTTCGTCACAATATCGTAGATAACACAGATCGTGTACCATGAATATGACACTGAAAGCTCCTGGTGGGTCATGTGTTTTTCTAAACAAAAATGCAACAGTGTACCAAAGAGTTGAGTTATAAAGTTCATATCAAATGGGTGGTTGTTTTCATGGAGCGCTTTCCTTCAATGAGTAGTACACTTAACCACTTATTTATATAAAGACTCGAAACTCACTGAAGCAGGTTCTAAAAGGCGAATTGAGAAGTCATATGATGCGCTTTTACTTAGACGACTCTACGATAAACAAGGATTAAACATTTTGTTTTCGTACAAATATTTTTGACAGGTGCCAGTTGTAAAATATATATATGGTTATTCAAAGCTCGCGATTTTAATCAGTGCCAACTTGCAGTACTTTTCATGGACTATTTTGATCTGATTGCTATCACAAATGTCAAAGGTACTGAATATACAAGTACTCATTTAGTCACAACCTCATTGGTTGTTGCCGTATTAGAAGCTAATGGGTTAGAATGTCTGACAGTAATGACGGAAAGTGCTTGAATCTGCCCATAGTTTTAGGTAGCGGCTTATCATGTTGAATTTCTAGTCCATTGTAATTCTAGAATGCATTCTTGCATGAACCGTTTTGTGAAAAACATTTTGCAGGATCACCAAATTGAAGATCCGTTTCTCACTAACATAATGACGCTTGCACCTGTTGAACGCTGGAGGAAAATACGCCAGCTTTCTACGCCTGCATTTTCAACTGCAAAGCTGAAAAAGGTCAGATCAGCGCCGAAGTGATGGAACTTTGTTTCGTTAATTACCAAGTGCACTGCTTCTCTTGTTTTCAGGCGCGGTAGTTTAACATACTACTCAAGAGGGTTTTGAGCCGTTTTCTTGGCTCACTTACTAAGTTTCTCATCTGCTCTCAACGGTTGCAATTCAGAAACACACACAATCACGCACACAGATACACACACGAACGCACCAGCATTCGCACGCATGGGGAGTCAAACAAGTTATAACGTCAAAAACTATCCACATATCCACACAAAAATTAATAAATGTATTAAAAAACACAATACAATGATCACCATAACAAAGTAACACACGTAATCGGGTGAATAGCTCGATACCATGTCATTATGTCATATAGTTATGCGAAGCTACCAAAATGAGTACAAGATAGAATTACGTAAACCTTGTGAGCTTATGAGTAAAATTCTTGCACTAGAATTATCTCTGCGTGGACACAAGATTTAGATATTTTGCGAACATTCACTTTATAATATTACACTTATTAAAGTACGCGTACTTTCACTACGCCGTTGATCAGCATAGAGGGGTCACATAAAACCACCTGCTATGACATGCGGCAAATATAATCTCGTATGTCCACCCACAAATATATTCTCTGAGACATCTGACAACTCATCATGAACATGAAGCCGTGTAAAGTGCGGGAGTTTAAAGAAGTGTACCTTCACTCTATATAAAACGCTGTGCTCACGAAGTCCGGCATTTCCAGATGAACGACCTAATTCAAGACTGCGCAAGAGTTAGTGCTAAGCACCTCGCAAACGCAGCAGAAGAAGAAAAGGAACTAGACGTCAAACAGTGAGTGATGCGCAATATTTTTTGTTCTTCCCTAGCCGTATATAGCATTCCTTTCCCGTGCTGACAGTTCGCAATATGAATGAGCAAAACATTAGGCATAAAGACACTGATTAAGGAGGTGAACAAATGAGCATTTGACTGTTAGTGTTAAGGTGTTTCTCGAGCACACTCCCGGAGTGGAGTACATTCAGCTGGCGAAGATGGAGAGCTCTAAGCACACCCGAGTGCTTCATTCAGAGTGCCACACTCCCACCACAAAGTATTTGGAGGTTATATCACCTACTAAGAGACGCAAAAGGCCAATAATATCTTTTTTTATAAGAGTGAAGGTTAAATGTTTTAAAACCTCTAAAACGTCAATATTGCACTCAGAAGTGCTACAGTAATCGACGTAGATAACAAACAGAAATAGAGGAGGCAGACCTGAAAGACTTTTGGTTGGCTGCCCTGCAATGGGGGATAAGGAAAGTGGAATAGAAAGATGAGACAGGTAGAGGTCGCAAGAGAAGGGGAAAAAAGGGTCAAAGGCAGCAAATTCAGTGCGGTAGGCGGAACAGCACCGCGAGTAACAAGCGCCCGCAGAAGCTTGTTGACCTTAAAAAGCAGAGGATGGTTTTTAATGACTTGTAGGCCGTCTAGAGGAGTGAACGGTGTTGTAGTAGCGAATGCACAGAAAGGGACCCATCATCTAGTCGCCGGAATGCGTTGGCAAGTATTTGTCTCTCCGAGGCAAATCTATGACACCAGCACAGCAGATGTTCGATGTCTTCGTCGGTTCCATAAACATCACACGCCACACTGTCAGTTTATTTATTTATTTATTAGAATACCCTCAGGGCCCGTAGGGCATTACAGAGGGGGTGGGTACAACATATATAACACACAAGAAAAAAAGACAAAATAAAGAAACAAGTATCAGATGCGCAAATCAGGAAGGCACCATAAGTCAACTAAAAATGTATAAGAATTCAAGCACATACAAGACAAAGATAGATAATGAAAACTGCGTATAGTTACAAGCATTGCTTTGGTCACTTTGATTAGCGTTGTATATTCTTTCGCGAAAGCACTCCCAACCAAAGGCAACAGAAAAGCTAACTTTCGCGTCGATGAAGGCCGGATGGAGGTCGGAGTCGCGGTAAAGGGCCAAGTTGATACTGGCTGGTGTTATATTGGTCCAGTTCCGCGCAGTCGGGAATCGATGAGTTCCAGCGCACGATGCAGAGCGACGAGTTCTGCCGCCGTAGATGACGTCGAATGTCAAGTCTTAAAGCAGAGTTACTTCTCGTGATTGTATTACCACCGTTGCACCAGAACTGAATGACGTAGTCGAGACACCCGCATACATAGATGTGCGCGAGGTTACTGTAGTTGTCGTATAGTTAGAGTGTTTGTTTAAGGTATGCGTCAGGGGATCGGATATTCTCCACGTTGCTGAGCTTGTGCGTTTCAGTTTAATTAACGGAAAAGAAGAGCTACCTGATGTAAACCTTGCGAGGACGCAAGTTTCTATTTCGGTGGCCTGTGCTTCGTTACGCCGGCTGCCGGGCAGAAAGGCGATAGCTGCGCCGAAAAGCCGTTCTCGTAGGCGGACTCTTTGAAGTGCTGGCGAAGTGTAGTGTGCTTAAAGCATGATTTTGTTTGAAATGAAGCCTTCTTTTGGCTTTAAATGAGGACTACAAGGATTCGGGAGCACAACCTCTGCCATTCAAGCCATCTTAATATTTGCCTGTGGTGTTGCTTTCCCCTAGAAGCACGGCACGTCAATGGCCAAGTACAGTTATGGTCAAGGGAGTCATGACTGCTCCGATTTTCCTGGAGAGTGGCTGAATGTGCAGCGAGGATGGGGAGTTTTTTGGCTCCAACCGCGAGCGTGTTGCGCGTTGTCACATTCTGAGTTCGAGTTCAGTAGAGAACCAGTCAAGAGCATCAGAAAGAAAACACAAGATGTTACAATAAAGGCTTTGAGATAAGGCTCTAGACGCTGAAAGTATGCAGAATTACAGCAATGTTTTCTAAAAATGTGGTGAGCCATAATAGATCCGCGCTCCAATTTCGTCTTACCGGATTTGTAATGTGATAAATCTCCAAGTAGCTGCCAAGACATGAATAATCTTAAGAGATAAGTGTTTCAGTGGTTTTGGCAAAGAGTGATAGAAGGCCTCTATAAATAGCGTGGTGGGGCTGAGAAAGAACAGGGACCGCTGAAGCGATGTGTAAAATCTCATTTTTATTTTTATTTCATTCATGAGTGTTTTGTATATGACACACCCAGATTACTGCACGCGAGCATTGATTTGATGTTTGATATGTGGAATTTAACGTCCCCGAACCCCCATATGATTATGAGAGACGCCGTAGTGGAGGGCTCCGGAAAATTCGACCACCTGGGTTTTTTTAACGTGCTCACAAATCTGAGCACACGGGCCTATAACACTTCCGCCTCCAGGGGAAATGTAGCCGCCGCAGCCGGGATTCGATCCCGCGACCTGCGGATCAGCAGCCCAGCACCTTAGCCACTAGACCACCGCGTCGATGCACGTGAGCATGCCTACGCTGTTACGATTGAAAAATTTCTCTCGCCTTTCAATGCATACTGCATTGAATGATTCTCATAATACGTGAATTTTTAAAAGAATAACCGTTGTCTGCATATTGCTGCATTCTCCATAGAGAGATTACATTGCGCCCTGTTTTCCAGTACAACCTGCGTTATAACGCCTTTTGACAAAGCAATAAGAAAAGCGAGAAAAGCTTGTAGAAATTTTATTTGCGCCATCTTTTTGTAGGTGGAAGGAAATTATGATAACGACCAGTGTGAAGATTGCGCTTGTTTAAGACACTCACTCGCAAACATTCTGTAAAATTACATTTCTTGGTAAGTCAGCCTGAGGTTACACCGCACGAAAACAAGATTTGGACCCCACTCAGTGACCTCCGGCCTTGATAATTGAGGCGAACGTTCTCGCACGCTTCCTGACAGGTTTTACGGACACTTCGCCCTGGACATGATTGCGAGATGTGCGTTCGGCACGACGCTCGACTCCTACACGGACGCCACGAACGAGTTTGTTACGCAAGCGAGGATAGCCTTCGCCGCCAACATCACTCCACTGCACATGATCAATGGTGAGCACATTCGCTCTGCTCTTGCAAGTTCTGCACGTACATCTAATAGCAAACATTTTGGAGGCGCGAAATATTCGAGAAAGCTGTATTCTTGCAGCGTTGTCGCGGAACAGAACCTGAGAAGAAACGTTCCCGTCTGTAGTTGGTAGTGCATTGTTTACAGCGCATGAAGGAAAGAAGTAAAAATATCAAGCCTTGTTTTTTTATTGTTTGATTGGTGCACTTTTTAATGAGAGCTAACAGACAACTATGCCAAGGAAAGTATAGGCGATGTTTTCAGTAGTTATTAGTAAAAGTTTACAATGACTGGTGCACATACAAAACTTTTGTGTGAGGCTTCACGTAAAGTTTCAGAGCATAATAACATTTTCTACACTTTCCTGGGAATCATTGTCTGTCATTGTCATCTTTATAGTGCATGCAACGTATACAGCAGTGCGAGAAGGGAAAAAGCCCATTCTATGCCCCTACCCTTGCTACCAGACTCAACGATGTGTTCTAGGAGCCAAACTGGATCGTCTTGGTGTAAGACCTGCATCAGAAAGAATGGGCTCGGATCTTGGCCCACGGCTTCACGCATGCACAAGGCGACGAAAGCCCTATGGAGCCGTTTGAAGGCGAACGGAACGGCTAACGTCTGTGAACCACAAGCGCACCATTGTGATGACGATTATGATGATGATGATGATGTTGATGGTGGTGATGATGATGATGTTGATGATGATGTGTATGATGTCTCACATATGGCCCATGCCGACTGAGAAGGATCGGCCAAGAAATTATAACATGAGTTAGACATTTTTAATATGGAATATTTATGAAAAGTAATTACGACATTGTGTTGTGTGCATGGTTTATTTTTTTTCTTTCTTTTATTATTTCTCCTCTAATATATATCATCCTCCCTTACTTTCCTGCACGTGTAAGGTAGCCTAACGAGCCAAGGCATCGTTAACAACCCAGCGTTTCCCCTTCATCTCTTTCTCTCTCTCTCTATCGGCAGCTACCAGGAAAATTGGAAACATTATGCCCTAATCGAGAAGGAATTCACACATTTTTTGGAGACAGCTTCCCGTAAATGTTTAGTGTTTTGTGCACTCTTATTTTCTGTGAGGACTAGTTTTCCATGAACAAACTTTTCACGTTACACTTCCAGGCACACAAAGCACTTCTCCATTATTAAGGAAACGATCCTAGCAATGTTCATTGCCAAAAAATGACGTGTATTGAGCAATCTTATCCACCATTGATAAGTTTCCGCTACCACCATACGCATGCTGACTTTTCATTGCTATAAATGGCTGCCATACAACATTGTCCATTATTTTATGGATGCTTGTCATTCATTCAAAAACGTTGAGCTGTACCGATTACCTAATTAAAGGTTAACACTATTTAGGAAAGGATTCTAGATGGTTCCCAGTTTTTTTAGGTGACAAACAACCGTCCCCGACAAGAGAAAAACACGGCTGACATCAACCTCCAAATTCGCCACTAGCCTACATCATTTTTTTTTGTGCTGAAGGGAATGCTACTGGGGCGGAGCTTCTGCCCATGTAGCACTACGCGAAGCAGTAAGATTTGGCGCAAGTCTCGTAACGCTGTGGAAAGTGATAGGGGTGCACCACCAGCGTTTATTGTAGACGCAGACACCGCATAGCGTTTGAGATACTCGTAAAAAGGCGCGACTTTCTCGTGTGTTCCAAGACGCAAAGCAGCGAAGAATAAGTTACAGAAATACGAATATCTTATGGGTCTGAACAGCGTCATGTCTCAAATAGCCCCACTTTGAAAATGAAAAAAAAAAGAAATGATTATATTTCACGTTGAAAACACGGAACCTGTTGTGGAACTACATTCACTGGTGGTAGGATGCACGTGATTTGGCTCCGTAGCCTTCGCTCGATTGCCAGAAGAAGTTGTCGCCGAGTATAGAGAGTTTTTCAAGCTGTGCGTAGCGGAATTCGCTTAGTCGGACTCATATTTCTTTTTTTTTTCAGTGCTGCTAGCCAACTTTTTCAAGAGTAGAAAACCGAAAACTTTCAACGAAGGGGCTTTCCTCTACTTCAAGAGCATCTGCCAACGCATCATGAAACAAAGAGCAGAAACAAATGAGGTGGGTCTCGGCCCAGCATTAAAACCACAGCGATATAAAACTGCGGGCAATTCGCTCGCAAGTGTTTGTGGTCTGCGCTCCACCCGTGTCACCTGACAGTAACTGCACCGTATTGCTGAGCATTGATTTTCCTATAAGTGCACTAGAGAGAACTACGTACGGCGCTAGTGTCTGTGGGAGTGGCGACGCCAGGCGCTTCAGCCAATACAGGGGGGATAGTAGTACACAAATTTGTCCACTCTTGCCTATGGGGAAGTTTTTTTACTAAGCGAATTTGTGTACTACGTTTGACTCTGAAGCTGCTTTGCCATAATACGCACTTCAGCACTTCAGCAAAGGTTTAGCAGTTACGCTTCATCACCTTTTTCAGGCTCACGGATTCAAATCGGCTCGCAAAGTTCACAATGATCCATTCTTTCATACGAAGCATAACGAAAACACAATAATGAACAAAGCTAGAAGTGCTTTCTACAAATCGTTCCCATGGTCGCTGAACGATCACTGTGGCGGAGTCTGTTCTGGTTCAGTTTAGAAACCTCGAAGTTGCTAAGAACCAAAAAGTGGCTCACCATGAAAGGCATATGAGACACCTCTGTTTTATGAGGGAAGACTGCGACCTTGTGATCACCCCACTGTATGTATGCTTGGTAACTATACTGAAATCAACATGTGCGTTATTGCGCAGATATGTAATCCACAGTTATTCAATCATACGAATAGCCAAACGCAGATTTTATGCCTTAAAAACCGAAGACGACGATGATTCAAATTGTGGAGGTCTGCTTATTCTGGCGTCAGCTTGCGTCAAATTATGTCCACCAATTTTCTGCCTATCACTCAATCCATGTTCGCAATCTGCCTATCATTCACATTAACAAATAGAAAATGGTCTCAATTCGAATGAAATTGAGCTGGTACGCGACAATCTCACAAAGCTGACCATAAAGCACCCCGTGATTGTGATATTGGGGATTGCTTGTATTTTAACACAAACGCCTATAATGGAACCCTGCAAAACTTTTTGAGCATGGTCAGAAAACGGTGCAGATCAGTCATACAGGCTCACGACAACACGCGAGCCAAATAATATAGTGCAGCCTGCCGTCTGAAATTCACAATAAATTATCAATGTAAGTTAAAAATTGCCTTCTATCCTCTTGACAAATGACAGAAAACGCTGCAAAATAACTCGTAGAAAGCCCATATATCAGTCATTGGCCAATTTGAACATGGCACGCTCGGTCATTTCAAAGATCGCCACGGGAGGCGGTGACTTGTCCATGAGTGTGCAAGCGATCACACTGAAAAAGCCACGCATTCGAAGAACAAAAAAATCTCAAGGTCACGAGGCGCGCGAAACGTAATCTCTTTGCCCCTGCTATCCCTAACTACTTACCTTCCAGCGCTTTTGTTGGGACGAGAGGACAGAAATTTGCTGAGGCATGTTCCCGGGCTAGTTGATTGGGGGTTCATCATTTATATGGGTATAGTGCACCACGACAAGGACACAAAAAGATGTAGACACACACATAGTGCTGTGTGTGTTTGTGTGTGTGTGTGTCTTTTAAAGGCGATAGTCTTTTTTGGGGACCTTCCACTAAAACATTTTGGTCTGTCTGTCTGTCTATCTGTCTGTCTGTCTGCACGTTTGTCTGTTTGTCTACCCTAACGATACCTCAAACGGCCCAAAACGGCCAACCCCATCCGCAGCGCCCACCAATATTCCGTAAGGTTTAGCGTTCATAGCTGTGCGATTGTCAAATAAAAAGCAGTTATTGGGCATATCTAAGGCGCCACAACAATGCTTTGATGTTTTGTATGTCTGCCTTTACACTAGAAGAGGCACACACAAGTAACTCAAATGAATGTAGCGTTTATCGCGCTGCGCTGACAGTGCAAAGCGATGCGCAAAAAGGTGTTTCCAACGCTTTGCTACGACGTCACGGTGGTGGCACATGCCCGTCGCTTTACGTTCTACACTTTATCACCTCCGAAACGGGTGTGCATATTTCTCCTCGGGCTAAACGCGTTCGTTTCCGAAGATAACTGCCAGATGGCGCTTGTGTCTAACGTGTCATGAGATCAGAAGTTCAAGCAAGATTAGATATTAAGCAACGTGGAATAGGTAGGCTTGCTTTAGGAGCTCACGGGAATACACCAAATCAGGGAGTACAAGGTGATATGGGATGGACATCATTTGAGGGCAGGAAAGCTAGCAGCAAGATAAAATTTGAGAAGCGATTGAGAGAAATGGGGGAAGAGCGTTGGGCTAGGAAGGTTTTCAGCTACTTGTAGATGAAGAATGTCGATACAAAATGGAGGAAGCGAACCAGGAAGTTGACAGGTAAATACTTAGAAAACAGCAGGTGGCCAAACCAAAAAGAACTATCGGTTAAGAAGAAAGTGAAGGAAACGGAGACTGACATGTGGAAAATGCGCATGATTAAGAAGTCTGCACTAGATATCTATCGAACTTTTAAGCAGGAAATTGCCAAGGAAAGGATCTATGATAATACTCGGGGTAGTTTTCTACTGTTTGAGGCAAGGACGGGAGTACTGCGAACCAAAACATATCGGGCCAAATACGAAGGGGTAGACACAGTATGCAGTGCGTGTGGAGAGAAAGAAGAAACTGCCGAACACTTGATAATGTTCTGTAAAGGGCTTCACCCTATAGTTCAGGATGATGGCGCAGAGTTTTTTAAAGCACTGGGGTTTAGGGACCGGGAGGGCAAAATAGACTTTAAGCAAGTAGACTTAACTAGAAGGAGGTTATCTGATTGGTGGCTAAAGTCAAGGCACGAGTGAAAATTAAACTCTTCACTGCAAAGTATGAATCTTCAAACTCACTTTTTAAGGATAAAAAATAAATATAGTTTTGGGTTCATTAGGTATTACGGCTTGGTGGCGCTAGCCACCGCCAGATCTAAAGGGTACAGCCATATCCATCCATCCATCCATCCATCCATCCATCCATCCATCCGTCCGTCCGTCCGTCCGTCCGTCCGTCCGTCCGTCCGTCCGTCCGTCCGTCCGTCCATCCATCCATCCATCCATCCATCCATCCATCCATCCATCCATCCATCCATCCATCCATCCATCCATCCATCCATCCATCCATCCATCCATCCATCCATCCATCCATCCTCGATGCGCTCGTTCGCCTCCGCTACACGATCGAGGCACTCTAACGCAGCGCCTCCAGAATACCGTTCACCGATTTTCTTGCGCAGAACATCAAATAAACGTTTTGTTCACTCTCTCCAGATTCAAGACTATCGTCTTTCGACAAAATTTGCGGTGTAACATGAAGATTTGGAACCAATTTTTTTTCTGTCCTTGTCGTGGTGCGCTATATCCATGTAAGAAAAGAGAGAATTCAATTGTATTTTGCGACAAATCTTCATAACTCTACCAGCACTGGAGTGATTCTAAAAATTTTTGTGGCGTTGAACTCATGAGGCAATAATCTTTTAGTGAATTAATTTCATGGTTACTTCAAAAAGTGTTTCAGGGCTCCTTTAATGTCTCGTACTCGCGTCCAACCGTCTGTGCCCTGCAACGGTGACAGTTGCGGAATCTCCCCCTCCCGCTCTGTCAACAACCTTGTGATAACACATTGGCTTATAGCAATAGTCTCGCCGCCGTGGCTGAAACGGGAAAGTGGAATTTATTCTTCAAGTGGCGAAGGTAGCAGTGGTGACGGCACGCACAGCAGTCAGATCATATGTGGGCGTGTTCTAAACCCTTGAAACGGTTTCCTGGTGGCCGTGGTGCTGTCGCTGCACTTTTCGTTCTAAAGTGTGACTTTTAGATAGCTATGTTAATCAAGAGAGCTAAGCAAATGAAAAATGTTTCAGTGTTTCTTGATTCATTTTGCAGAGAAAAGAAGACTTCCTCCAACTAATGATTGAAGCACGCGAGGGCCGCCTATCCCAATGCGGCGACTGCACAGATGAACCGGGGAACGGCTTGAATGACGATGGTGCAGAAACCATGTTGAAGGGCACGACGAACGACAAAGGTCAGTCGGATAGAGTGCCTCGCTCCATATTGTAAGAAGTGGACTACCGTTTAACTCAGTGAGAAGTTTTCAAAAAGATGACGTTTCAGTTGGCTGTCCGAATTTCGTTACCTTGTGGTTATACAGGTGGAGGACTGGGGCCTTTAGTGTTAAAACAAAAGTTATCCTTCCTTCGCGTCTTCCTTATCGTTCTTGCACCGTTCGTGTCTTTCTTAAAAAAAGTAGGTCACTATAAAGAAATCAATGCTGCAGTTATATAAAACCCTGTTACCATTTCTGTGTCCTTATAACATATGCAGATTGTGCAGGAGCATAAAGAGAACGAAATAAGGACAATGTTGGTTTGTGAATACGGGTCTTAGTCTTCTGTAATAACTGATGCATTTACTGTATCTATGAATTACAAACACTCGCAACTTAGTGATCCATTGCTTTCTATAATGAGGTAGAAAAGAATCCAGGATCAAACTCTTTCTTCAACGACAACAAAAGAAAGCGTTAAATTTGGCCAAGGCTGGAAGAGGAAAATGTCATAATTTGGCTGTTATTTCGCAATACTTTTGAAAATAATTAATTTTGCCCATAGTGTTATGGAATACATTCTGCTTACGTGTATTTTGTTCATCTTGAAGTTTCAGACCACTTACATATTCGGGCATCTGCATTAGAGCGCCGCGGAGAAAAAAAGAAGCCAACAACCCTTTATCGCTGTGTTTCCAAATTCTTTGGTATTCCATGCTGTTATTGACATTTCGATAATACAAAAGTTGTTGCAACAGCTTGATACAATTTGTAATTTCGTAATTTTTGACAACCTTGTATGTCGCAGTTGAGTAAGACACTTAGATCATTAGTCAAGGCGTGTGTGTTTTTCGTACGCATCGTGCCTCGCTTTTAAAGAAATTGGTTTTCGTTCTACACTCGGAAGAAACAATTCGCATAAGCAGTTTTGAGAATACATTCCGAGAGAGTTTTGTGTGAACTAAAACCGTGGTTTAAGCGCTTCCCTGGCTGGTTCTTATCTCCGTGAAGTGATGGCCCCCAGTTTACCGGAAATACACGTAATTAAGTGTATTATTTTTTTCATCCAGGTAAACATAAGAATGATATAGTGAGCATGTGCATTGTACAGTGAATAAAACAAGCAGAATATAATACTTCCCCCCCCCCCTTCTGCCTCTATATGAACTGTTGTTCGGAAGGTACTCTTATAAATAGCCATTGCCGCATGTACATTCACCTGCAGACAAGCTGTGCTGTTATAGCTTTGCTCTTTCGACGAGAAACGTCATACAATGCCAACATCAAAATATTGATAATCTTTATGGTCACATCGCAGTTATTGCCTTACAGTTTGTGAAGTGCGTTCCAAGAGTAGCAGCAAATTAAGGTTGCACGGTGGGCTTGTTGCTTATACATAGCGCTGGCTCTGTGTGTGTGTGTGTGTGTGTGTGTGTGTGTGTGTGTGTGTGTGTGTGTGCGTGTGTGTGTGTGTTTCTTGCTCTGTCCCGATCTAGTTGCCCTTCACACCCGTAGCAGTGAACTTTAAATATCCTCCTGTTGACACGGTGATTTTAAACTTATGTTCTCTTGTGGCAGCTCCTCCCTGTACAGAATGACTACTAATCGCACACCGATATATTAGAAACTAGATATTACAAATTATTTTGCAGACACTGAAATTATGCGGACGAGACTGAGCGGTGTTCATTTGAAATTACAGAGAATAATTATTTACTGGTACATGTGAAATAACCGTATAAGAGCAGTCTGTAGCATTCGCACTAATGCATTACCGATGCAACAGTGGCCGTGAAGTGAACAGCGTGGAGAGGGTATACTGCTCGCGATTATATGCAGCCACGTTAAATAACCACAGGTGGGCAAAACTTGCGGAGCTATCCCCATCGGCGTCTCTTCCAATCTTATTGTAGTTTCTAGACGTTGAACCCGAGATATTGTTTTTATTACTACTTATGCAGGGCGGCCCTAATATATCCATTTAGAGTCGAAAACCATAACGACGCACTTTAAGTCGACTTGATGAAATACATGCTGCCATCTATCCCATGGAATAAGTCACAGTATTTGCTGCGTTCTGCTTAAATGGCACATCAGTCAATAAGAGTAAAATGAGTTACGAAGCAAGGCCACTTGGCCCAACGTTTCACTTGGAAAGTCGTAGAGCGGCTTGCAAAACATGTGATTAGGAAGTTTGTATCTTTCTATCGAATGGACAACGGCGAAGTTGGTGCCTAACGGTACGCTGTTCGAGTGTCTCTTGACTTTTTCCACAATAACACGTACACCTCGTGAATTCATCAGCGATGTACAAGAATCAGTTCGAATATCTGCCAGGTCTTGCGGCCTCCACGGCAGCCCCGTCCAGGAAGCGCGCAGGCTCTTACTGCGACAGGGAGGACAATGATGTCTACTCACTGAGAGTGACAGGTGAGGTGTCATCTGACGACGACTTCAGACTTGTAACGAGCCGAAAGGCGAAGAGACGTGACACTAGGGCCTCATCCCCGAACACGAAGAATGAACGTGCGCTGAAGCCAACACCATCGTTTTCGTTCCTGCTGAGCCCAACGGCAACATGAAGCGCCTCAGCAAGCAATCTGTCTCGGCGCTGCTCGAGGGACTGGTGCAGCACGAAATCATTGAAAGAAGAGTAAATATGCGTAAGGATGTCATGGCCATTGATGTTTCGCATGCTGCCGCAATGAACATCATACGCAACGTCATAGAGCTAGATGGAATTAACATCCGCTCCTATGGCCCGATGGGATCCAGCGTCGCCACTGGTATCATTTACGACGTTGACGTTGCCATTCCCAGCTCTTACTTAAGTGGTCTCGTCAGGCCAGCTAATGAAGCTAGTGTCGTCATCAAGGTTGCTCGTTTGGGTACCTCACGCTGCGTGAAGAAAAATTTTAGAGGCAGCTCTCTACCTTCGCACGTAAAGTTGCCCACGGTCTTACAGAGTGTCAGAGGTAGCCCACGTAAATTTGGGTCACTTACAACACCCTGTGAGACTTTTGGAACCACAGCCACTGCAATTTCACAACTGCAAGAAGCTTGGTCGCGTGAGCGACGTGTGAGATTATAAGCTATTATGTTATCGCTGCGTTGGAACCCAGTCCGCGGACCAACGTTCCCGAGTGTTCAAATTGCATTGGACCCTACGAAGCATCCTCGAAAAATTGCCCAAAAATGAAAAGAGAGATATATGTACTCAGACAAATGGCAAGAGACCTTACGTCGCATCGCGAGGCTGCAGCAACCGTCAGGAAGCGGCGACTGCGTTCGTCAAAAAGCTCATCAAAAAAAGCGAATGCCTCCCCATCCGCAGCGCCCATTCGGCTCCCTGCTTCACCGTCTCCCTTTCCACCCGGATTGTAATCGGCTAGTATGAATCAGAATACAATAGAATGCAGATTCCAATTTTTCTGAAGATTGCAATTGGCCTATATTGGCAAAGCCGCAGCCACATGGATCAGCGACAGTCGGTACTGAAAACAACACTATGGACCCTACTGACGCTGTTTGTATTCCGTGGCCGAAGTCACGGCGACATGCGTACTCACAGCTCCCCCGGCCGCAGTAAACCCCTAGTGTCCGACTGACGAACTTCTACAAGATGACAAATGAACCCTAATAGTTCATCAATTATTGGTAGGCACACTTCGAGTGTTCATTGGCAGGCTGAAGTCACCACGCACTTAGGCCGTGTAACAGGTACTGGGTGTTCTACGTCCAGTGCTTGCAAGCCTTCAGTAGGCATCATGAACCACAATCTACAGTGGGACGTGATAAGCCTGGAGTCCTGCGTTCCCTACTACCGAACGGGGCAGTCTAGTTTAAGCCCACGTTTTTTAGGGGCGAAGCTCCTTATGGCGTGGCTTGAGCGTTCCTCGTAGTACGTAACCACCAGTGGCACATACCCGAAATAGGTATAACATTTGACCTCCAAGGTGGTGCCGGTGAGAGATTTCTTCTGTGCGTTGTTTAAAAATAAAAAATAGTGCTCAACGTACATGCCAATGGCTGCTAATGGGGAATGAGAGACATGAGCATTCGGCTTTTAGTCAACGCGCACGCTGCGATCCCCATTAGGAGCCATTGGAATGTACATTGAGCACTATCGGACAAGAAAGGGTTGCTACATTATACTCACTGGGTGCAACCTCCTTAGTTTTACAAAGGTTTAGCCAGCGTTGAGCCGCAGGGCCATGCATACAATGAACTAGTATATACCATGAATGAATTCGAGGTGGTTAAAGGGGGGAAGCAGATACGAAGCGCAAGCCGTAATAAATTAAAAGCTGAATCCTCCTGTCTCTCATTTAATATTAGCAGCCACTGGCATGTACATTGAGCACTATCTGACAGGAAAAGATTGCTACGTTATACTCGCTGGGCGTAGCCTCCTTGGTTTTAAAAAGGTTTAGCGAGCATTGGGCCGCAGTGCCATGAATACAGTGAACTAGTATACACCATGAACTAATGCCCCTGACACACGGGCACCCTGAAGTCCTTTAGACAAGGGGACATCTTTCGGAAAGGCGTTCGGGCACAGTGACACACGACAAAGGAGTAACTCCTTTCCGGCAAAGATCCTTTTCGCAAAAGCAGATCCCGCATCTACTTTTCTGGCAGGAAAGGAGTACTCTCGCATACAGTGTGCATAATTTATCAATAGAAGAAAACGTGTCGCAACACTGTGGTGCCCTGTCAGTATTTTTTGCGCTGAGGAAATGTTTTCATTTTCAGCAGCAGTGCGATTTGTTCAAAAGTGAAGGCCTATAGTCTGTCCATACTCTCAAACGCCTGCATTACGTCACTAGCGCGATCATGTTAGGGTTGGCAGCGGCAGTTGCTGTGTCGGGCTCACTCGAAAACACTGCTCAAAGTGGCCGTCGCCTAATAACGGCAATGTGTCTTCGAACCAGCCTTCGTTGCGCACATGGGCCCAACTTTCGCGGTTGATGGCTCGGGGGGCAGTGCGGAAGCAGTCAAAATGAAGCTGTTCATGACGAGTCTTTGTTTGAGGCTGATAACTCTTGCCTTCGCAGCGTTTAGCTCATCTTCGATGGAGCCAAGGGCGACAAAAGTCAGGCCCACCTCAAGTGTTGCTTTATCTCTGTCTCTGCGCTGAGACATCGCAGGACCACGATGAAACGCGGCACGCCGTCACTGACCCAGCTGAACGCAGCCATGTAAAAAGCACTACAAAAATCAAAAAGAGCAAAACACCGACTGTTCATAGTTGCCAGACGAACTTAAGTTGCTGCTAAAAAGGCAAAAAAGCGAAAGAAAATTACAGGTATGCGCATTATAAGCCACCAGACAATAAAAAAAAAACGGTTTTATGCTCCGGCGTCGCTGAATGTGATGTACATGCGCAGATTCTTTTTAATGTTTCCAATCTTGCTGCTTCCACAAACACCGCCATTTTTTCTGCAGCGTTCTTCTGAGGCACCGCCTAAAGCAGTAGTCCGGTGCAGTGTGTCATCAGCGCCACTCTTTTCTGCAAATGGTCCCCTTAGGCGACAAAAGGGGTTTACTTCAAAGTACTTTACTTTTGCCTGTGTGTCACGGGTATTAAGGTGGTTGAAGGTGGGAAGTAGACCCGAAGCGCAAGCCATAAGAAAGTGTGCGTGTGCCACCTCTCGTTCAGTCCTTGGAATGTCCACTGAATGGCGGTGCTTCTATATGGGGAATATATGATAAAAAGATGCGAGATGGTGGGACTTGGAGTGTTGAATAGATGGACGAACGGACACACAGACAGATGCATAGATGGACGCATGAACGGACGCAGGGGCGGATGCATGAACGAACGCAGAGACGAACGCACGAACAGACGCATGGACGGTCATACAGACGGACGCATGGACGGACGAATGCTTCGCCCCACTCTCCATTATCCACTCCGTGGATATGCTGCCATTTTTTTTTATGTTTTCTTCTTTCTATCTCTTTTCATCCTTTAATCCGCTTCCCCCAGTGTAGGCTAGCAAACCGATCGCTCATATGTATAGCCTTACTGCCTTTCCTTCCTCTACCTCCTCCTCCATCTATTGAATGCGTACTGGTATTTTTTTTATGCCTACTGGTACAGCTCCACGTGACATGCCCGCGTACCATGCTCATTTGCCCGTCTACGCGCGCATTGACTGCAGGGCTTCCTAACGTTCCACGTCCAAACAACCTAACATTGGGTTGGGCGAGCCGTCATTTAAACAGTTTACTGACATGCTTTGGCCGCAAATAACCCACACACACAAAGTAAAGAAACTGCTTGTGCTTGTCGATGAGTGTTTTTTTTACTTTGTGCTTGTGTTATTTGCGGCCAAAGCATGTCAGTAAGCAAGTACCAACTAGGCCAACAATCAGTATTGTCACTTAAACAGTGCAGTGACAATGATGGTGGTCGCACCATGACACACGCATTGCTTGCGGCAGCGCAAGAAATAACGTCTTCGCATGCTTAACGCTTCCATAAATTGAGGTGAGTGAAGAATATAGTTTGTATGCGGAACGTAATGAGCACTGCAATCACATCGCATTGGCGGGTTTGTCACGTGGTGTAATTTTCGGCGTCGCGGGTACCTGCAGTAAGTAGAAAAAATACTGATACTTGAAGGAAATAACAAACTGCCTAGTCGGACGCTTTTCGAGCCAACCTAAACTTGCATCATTGAAGTTTTTTGCACAGCTTTGCTGCTTCCGGAGCTGGTTAAGTAACATTGCCTAATTAACCGCGGAAACTTTCGCAACGCCTTTGTTGCCTTCTGGTTGGAAGATCGAACGTCTCAGCCCTCGAAAATTGATATGTGGAAACATCCCAAAACCACCATATGATTATGAGAGACGACATTGTGGAGGGCTCCGGAAATTTTGACTGCCTGGGTTTTTTTAACTTGATCCCAAATCTGAGCAAACGAGCCTACAGCATTTTCGCCTCCTTCGAAAATGCAGCCGGCGTTATGGTTCGCGACCTGCGAGTCAGCAGCCGAGTACAGCCGCTAGGCCAGCGTGTCGGGGCGATTGTTCTGTAAACGGCTGGTGGTCGAAGCGTACTAAGGTTGCTTAGAGCTGTTCTCTCTAGCAGTCCTGGGCTTAAGTGTGTGGTGATGCGTGTTTCTTAAGGAAATCTTTTCCTACAGATTTTTTATACACTTTTTCATTTTCTTTCCTTCCTTACCTTTCCGTTCCCCCTTACCCCTTCCCTATTGCAGGGTATCACACCAAAGATTTTCTTCAGGTTAACCTTCCTGCCTTCTACTTAACCTTTCTAACTCTCTTGCCTAAATTAGCAATTAGGCAGAAATAAAAAAAATTGTGAGTTACTAGGTGCAATATTCAGCAACACGCATCTCCTATATTAGTCACAAAGTCCGTTAGCTTGTTTTTCAATTATGACTGGCACTACAACTGTGATAACGTGCATATATATTCGCAACGACAGCAACGACACTAAAGGTGCAGCTTATTTTGGCGTTATTTATTTAGCACTGGCTACTTAATTACGACAAGCGTTCAATAGATGGAGCTGTTTCCATAGAAAAGAGCTAGCAAAGAATCCGTGACGAAGTCCAAAGACGTTAACCGAAAAAGAAAATATAGGTGTATCACTTAAAAGCCTAAATAAGGAAAAGAAAAACGTTTCAGGGCCTGGGCGTAAAAAGATACCAAGAAAACGAAGGAAGAGTTCTGCACTTCAAGCTATTATACGTCCCTCAGTTGCATTAACTGACCCTGTTTCTGCTTGGCAGTTTGAGAACTGGCACTCTGATATTTTATTGTGTGTGTATTAACTCCTGCATTAACTCGACCTTTAAAGAGCCCGTCTAGAAATATCCCCTGATGTTGGGCAAAGTATAACGAGCGCTACAAATTTTACCCACACATGCCTTTTATTGTCTTTTGAAAGGAAGCTCACACGTTTGATTCGAGTTTATCATTTATTCATGTTTCCCACGTTAGCTTCGTTAGAGACGTGCATTAGGACACATCTCCCTGGCTCTAACTGTCAAAGAAAAATTTCACGTTTGGTTCAAGCTCATTCTTCGTTTTTTTATATGCAACATCGTTATATGAAAGACCATTAAGGCTTCACGACGGCCCTTTGCGACAGAGCGTTGCGACAGGCTGTCATTGAACGTTGGATCGCATTAAGGCTCTATTGCATTACGTCCATTACGTTACAACCAGCGGTGCCTCCCCTGACGTGCTGTGACAAGGCCTGGTTCTCTTCGAGTGGTATTAGAGCTGTCTGGAGCAGATGCATGCACAGAGCCATAGTGTTGCTCCTTCTCTTACTCGATCGCTTGCATGGTGCCGTGTTTATGCTGCGAGGAGTTCAATGTTAGAAACCTTTTCACGTAGAGAGCAGCGGCGTAGCCAGGGGGCGGCACAGCCAACAATTGACCCCCCCCCCCCCTCCTTTTTATTTTTTTTCTGCCATACCAAAAAATGACAGAGCAGGGTAAATAAACAATAGCCATTCAAGCGCGCCGTATCAAGGAGGACAAAACGTGCTGTCCCTTGTTTAATTACAAGCCAGGATCTCTCCAATTGCGTTGTGTTGTATCTTCGTGTTGTACGTTTGCGTTGTGTTATACGGGTGCCATTTTTCGCAATCAAGGTAGAATCCATTATAATAAGGGTTGCAGCATAGTTTGTGACCCGGAACTATGTCACGTTTCTCACGTTTTCTTGTTGAAAGATTTTGCCTGCTTGTATATACTAACATGTGTGCCACAAAAAAAATAATGTCAATTGGTAGTCAGAGCTCGTGTCGTCCCTCTTTGCCTTCCGTTCGCTTTTCTTCCAGCACTTTCGTGCTTGCGCTGCAACCCTGATTGTATTGAAATTTACACAACTAGCCCAAAAAGCCGTTCATCAAAGTAGAGCCGGGTCTAACTTCTTGATATTGGCCAACAATAATCACTGCTATACCAAACTAATTCGTATCTAGTTTGTAGCAAACATCCATAAAATCGTGATCTGGGAGCCGGATCGTGGTGCGCTGATCACGATTGCCTTGCTACCTATGGTGCCTGGTCAAGGTTAAAAAGTTAAAATAAAGCAGGACCTGATCTAGATGCAACCTAATTAGGATCGTCCCTGATCGCGTCAACAGTGCCCGTGTGACACCAGTATTAGAAATGCACGCTTAATACTTAGCATTTGGTGAAGTTAGCTTTAAATAACTGCTAAAGGTTTTCAAGGGTAGCAATTCATGATGCAGTTCATACTGTGTGTAGACCTGAAGAGTAACTGGTCTGAGCGTGCGTGCACTCAGAGTTGGCGATTGCTTCGTCAGTTTTAGTTTCTGAACACTCGTGTGTTCATGGACCACCATGTTATTTTCACCTTACTTCACCTTAAGCAGCTTCACTGAAAAAAAGTTGAACTTAAGAACGAGATACATGAACGTATAGCGTAAAGAGGACGCCACATGAGCTTTCACAGTGGCGAGAACACGACGTCTATCGCATGACAATGTTGGAAGTGCATTTCGAGACATTAGCAGATCGGCCTGGTTGGTGGTATCCCATTAGTTTTGTTAGAAGTCAGCCGCGAATTGGAGGACGTGACCCGCTGCAAGTGTCGTGACATGTACTGATTCTGTAGTTCTCGTTTTGCGTCTTTTATTAGCGTTACAAGATTTCTTGATCTGCTCATATAAACATTTGCCATCGAAGGTTCTGAGTATGTCGCCATAAGCTCCCCTGGGTTGTAGCAGATGTGCGTGACTTGCCAAAATGCACTGCCGAGGCGGTGAGCATGCGTTAGCCTCTGCGCCACCGTCCAGAAATGAAGTAGTTACCCTGACTACGCGAAAGGTCTATACAGAAGCACTGAAATGTCGTAGTCATAGTTACATTTGCTTGAAAGCGTTTTCACGAGGTTTTCGTCGATAGATTACAAACTGTACAGGCCTTAGAGGAGTATAGTTTACGTTTCGCGTCTGGTCACTTTATCCCGCTTAGTGCAACATATAAGCGTGTTCATCACTTCCCATGTATTTTGTACTCCATGAATAGAAGCAGGCCGAATGCGTGTTTAGCGCGTGCCCCGTTCGGCCAAGAAGTCTTGGTAGATCGACTTGTTCTGTCACATAAAGCTTGCGCATAAAAAAAACACACGTGTCGTACCAGAGGTTGAAGTTTCGTACTCTGGTCATAAAATGAGTAATCAGCGGAAAAGAAATACGGAGGCTTTACAAGGACAAAACATTTTCTGCAAGAACTTTTATTGTGGAGTTTTCGGACGATGGCTAAATATTACTTAGAATTTGATTATGTAACTAATATATGGCACCACTAGATGACATTCGTCACAACAGCCGCCATTAACCAAAATTAGCGATTATTCGGTCCGCTCTAATCAACATTAGCTAACGCTAAGCCACCACTGACCGTCATTTGATCTAGTTTCACCAGTATTAGCCAGTATAGCCAGTGGTAACCGACATTAGTCGTGATTTAGCCAACGTTAGACAACGCGTGCCTCTATTGTACGATTCCGCGTCGCGGCTACTGCACACACTGCCCTGATTTTTTCTACTGCAACAAGGCATTGCCTCGTTTATACGTATACGTAGGTTGCAATTTATTCCTGCGTACCAAAACGCACTTCGTCGGGTACGCACGGTTTCTCAAGGTAAAAATAAATGTGAAAATTATGACCCGTCGGAAGGGTCTAAAGTTTCACAGCCTATCTAACACGACAACTTCGCCGATGCGTGCAGCTTTGACCGAGGACGAAGCCCTGGCCCAGTGCGTGCTGTTCTTCGTGGGCGGCCAGGAGACCACCGCGTCGATGGTGGCATTCGCTGCGCACCTGCTCGCCGTGCACCCCGAGGTGCAGGACAAACTGAGGCGGGAAGTGGACGCATGCATTGCGGCGAACGTAAGTGGAAGTTCGCGTGCGAGCACCGCAGTTGTTCTCCTTGGAGTCTGCCTAAATATTGAATGCCCTTCTTACAGCGTGGAATAGTTCTTTGTCGTTACTGTCTTGCGAAAAATGCAGGCATATGATTCTTATTCTCGGGGGCACCATAGCATGTGGCTGATATGCGACCACCAATACGAAATAGGACGCGCATAAATTGCTTCACATGAATAACGTGTAAAAAACAGCTCTGCGAGAAACAGCTTTACGCAGATGGTTCTAACAGAAGTCTGCGTCACGAAAAATCAACGTCAATTTATCCAAACCGAATGTTGCACGAACTGCGAAGCATTGATTGATTCACCCGTGGATCTCATGTGTTTGTATAGAGTTTGTTTGCTCCTTTGTGTCTCTTTTTGTTTCACCTGTATTTTCTTCTCCTTTCAGTTTATTTCTTGCGAGTTTCCTATTTATTTACGAACATTTTCTGTTTTACAGCTTCCTTTTTCACTGTTTCTCCACTGATCGCTGCTCCAAGCGCGGTGCGTGGAACTCCCGGCGCCGGCGCTGCGATGTGTTGTTTGTGTGTCATCTTAAAACAAGGCTACACCACTGTAGCAATGAGTTGCAGTGTTTGTATTTCCCAAATCTCAAGTGCCCGCAGTACATAGAAGCTGCATACTGCAGTGCACGTGTGACTTAGGAAGGAAAATGGGGCTTTTAACCGAGATATAGCTTGTCTAGTCTACTCTTTATGAGATACTCGCGAAAAGTGGGCAGCGCTGGAATCGCCAAGACAAAATAGCTGAATATATTTTAAGAGGGCACTAATGTCAAATAAAAACTTACGTCAGAGTGAAAGATCAATGTACAAAACGTGTAAAACCACACTTTTATCGACAGCAGTGCCCTACTTACTGAGAAATCAAGGTAAATGCACGAGAACACATGCCCTAATGATCTATTATGAGGTACAGTGTGGCCAATCTCCCATGTGGGTATGAGCCAAGACCTCCTAGGAGACAAGACAAGACAAGACATGCCCTACGCGTAGGACGTCCTCAAAATGATCCCGATAACATGAGAGGTACCCCCTACAATTAATATAGTAATCTAACTAGCTGCACTAAATAAAGGAGCTTCCGTGCATCAACAGACGTAATAAAATGCTGCTGGTTCGTTTTTGTTTGATTCATAAAAAAAACTGTACATTATTATGGGGATTGGTACGAGTGGTTAAAAAGTTCAATTTTCGCCTGGTTAAACTGGACAGGTCGTTCCATCTAGCGGGAACCTGTTGAACCAAGCACGTCTCCCATCTCGCAGCCCATGGCAGTAAATAGTTCAAT